TTTCTATTCTTAAAGCTTTATTTCGCTTGAATCGCGTTTTGTTTTGCCCAAACGTGACGTCACGCGCTAAAAGATGTTGGCTTCAAAATATATAACTTACGGCGGGTCTATCAGTTTATATGGTCGAAGAATAGAACCGTTGCAGATTGTTTCGTAATTAAGATTTGTTTAAGTATTGAATTAACAACGGTTTTTAATTATCATTTTAATTGCATTAATACTTTAAGAATAATTAAAATAATTTTGATCGCAAAAGAATCGGAATCGGCAAAGAATTGAAATCGCAACAAAGAATCAGAATTGAAACCGGATTCGGTAATTTTTGGAATCGGCTTATCTCTAAAATCGACCCTTTTAAACTGGCGTTTTATTTTTTTATTTTTCGTTTTATTTTTATTTTATTATTTTACTATTTGTAGTTCAGTTTATAATGGATTCTATGACATTGCCTGTCTCGACTACAAAAGTGTGTGAGTATATTATAATTTTTCTTTTGTTAAATAACTTTAATTAATGTTGATTAAAATTATTTTTTAAATTTTAGATTTGACGAGCCTGCATTTGGTTGTGAAAAAAAAGGAGATGTAAATTTAAATAATTATTTATTTGCATAAACTTTACTGAACCTTTCTTTTCTTCTAATAATGATAAATTGATAATATCTAAGATCTTCAATGTTATATTATTAATTTAGAAATTTCTGATTAGAAAAAAAAAAATTCTGACTATAGGTAATACCTGTACTCAAAAATTTTGCTTCAGAAAATTCTAATTAAATAATATTATTTTTTCAATTAAATTTGTAATTAAATTTTGTTTTTCTAACCTGAAATTTCTAATTAATATTATTCCTAGTTAAGTAATTTAATTTCTAAATATAGATAGGGTAGGGTGGGATAATGTGAGTCTGAGGGGTAATGTGGGTCTTATCAACATTTATATGTTTTTCTGAAGAAAGATTTAAGGTAGAAGTTTTTTTTCTGTATGTTATAGGTTGTTACCAGCTCTCTAAATTTATGTTATAGGTTGTTAAAACAGCTCTCTAAATTTATGTTATAGGTTGTTATAACAGCTCTCTTAATTTATGTTATAGGTTGTTAAACCAGCTCTCTAAATTTGAATTATAATAATTACCCTATTTGTTTCTGGATTCATTTTTCTAGAGTCATGTTGCTATGAATTTCTTTAGATAAATATTAAAGATGTAATTGTATCAGGTTTTCAATTAAAACTAGAAAGATAGTTTTCTTAAACAAAAAAAATGTTTTGCTATATATATTTTTTTCAAAAAGTCTAAAATAGGTAAAAATAGGCCCGAAATTACCCCACCCTACACTACTACCTTTGCTCAAAAATTTTGTTTCTCGAATCAAAATTTTATCATTTTATTATTATACTATACATTCAGCATCATAGTATATAATTATATCTTAGATGAGAAAAGTAGATCTGCGATCAATACATTAGTAGTTAAATCAACATAAATTCTAAAGTATTTTAATTTTTCACACCTACCATGAAGGCTTCTTTTATAATTCTTTTTTTTTTTATACTTGCAAATAATTACTTAGGAAATTAAAAAAGTAGCATTTAGGTTTTTTTTAATATGCATAATGTTACATTTTTCGTAATTAAATTTTGTTAGCCAAATAGATGCTCATGACTATGTTCCTGTCTTTATATTATTTATATCAATTTGACAATATTTATTAAGTCGATAGAGTTTTTTTATTCATTCTATTTTACTGTCATTAACTTGAAGTTTGATAGAGTTTTTGACTTGTTCTGGCAGATTGTTAATAAAAAATAGATAAAACAGTATTGATCCTAATATTGATTTTAGTGGGTATGTGTAATATGTATATGTAGTACTGTAATATGATGTAATATACAAAAAATTGAACTTTATGTAAACGTCTTTAATATATACCATAAATATATACTTTAATTTTATATTCGTGATTCCGCACCTGGTTTGGACTGTTTTCCATTATGTCATATTGTTTATCAAAATAAGATTATAAAAATTTGAAACAAATTTAACAAGCTTGCCCAAGTATAAACTCTTTATATAAAACATTTTTAGGTATTGGTATTAGACAGCCACTAAGAAGTATGCAATCTAAATTGCAAAACTTAAAAATATTAATCTTGCTTCATAATTCCTTTAATGATGTAAAATTATTCCAACCTTTTCCACAGACCAAATAATAATAAAACAGCTTTACAGTATTTAAGACACAGCCCACCTGGTATATATATATATATATATATATATATAATATATATATATATATATATATATATATATATATATATATATATATATATATATATATATATATATATATATATATATATATATATATATATATATATATATATATATATATATATATATATATATATATATATGTATAAATATATATATATACATATATATATATATACATATATATATATATATACATATATATATATATATATATATATATATATATATATATATATATATGTATATATATATGTATATATATATATACATATATATGTATACATATATATATATATATATATATATACATATATATATATATATATATATATATATATATATATATATATATATATATATATATATATATATATATATATATATATACATATATGCATAGATATTTATACTATCGTTTTTTAACAAAAAATAAAAAAGTATATACTTTCATAGTTTTTTTAAACACTTTTTTAATTTGTGTTTTTGTAAATTTTTTTTATTATTTTCAAAACTTTTATAAATTTCACTTCTTTTGAGACCCAACATAAAATGCTTTTAAAAAACTTTTTTTTCAAATTATTAGGGGCCCGTCTGATGTTTAAAGGTCTTGAGCGACCCCTAAAAATTTTTTTGTTCAAAAATCATTTAAATGTAGTATTAATTTATTATATAGAACACATTTAGGGGGTGCCATCAGACATTTTTAATGTCTGATGGCAACCCCTAACATATATATATATATATATATATATATATATATATATATATATATATATATATATATATATATATATATATATATATATATATATATATATACAATTGCCAAAGATGTTTTTTTAAACGTGAAGCTCAATTATGATATCACAGTGTCACGAAACAACTTTTACTTCGAACCTCTTTTCCCGAGAAAAATCTTTGGGGGTATGCTACTGAATGTATGTAGGACTACATTAGAGTTGGTTTGGAAATCTTTCATCATTGTCCGTGAAAGAAAAATTGATTCAAAAATTTTGATTTTTATTTCTCTGAACAAATGAGATGAGAATGAGATGAGAAAACATTTTCTATTGAAAACATTTGAAACTTGTTCTAACATATTTGTTCTATAAATAACCAGTGTACATACAACTTAGAAACAATTACAAACAAAAAAATTCATTTTCTTCAAAAAATTAAAAAAAATAAGATTCTAGCTTAACAGATCAAGCAATTTTAAAATAAGGAATAATCTTTTTAAATATAGTTTTTAAAATTTTTTTTTGAAAAGTAATTTCTTACATATCTTAAGTTATAATACAGTATTCTTTACAAAGAAGTTAAAATAAATGCTTGCTGTTGTAATCAATCAAACAGTTTAGAAGATTCTTAGGATAGTCCGGATAATTACTGGGCCTTTTGAACCTCTGCCAGTGATGGTTGAAGTCGTGATGGAGTGATTTTGTTGTTTGCTCTGAAGAGATGCTAAGTGAGTGGTTGTGGTGATCAATAAACTGTGTCACATGAAAAAAGACAGCATGTGCTTTGGCAGTGACACTTGTGTTTGAGTAGGAATCCTTGAACTCTTCAATGAGGATGCAAAAGTTGTCTTTAATAAAATTTCCATAGGAAGCATGAACAACTGTATCAAACTTTCTTTCAGCGTATCTCATTGATTTGAAATGCTAAAAAGCAAGCATGCTTTTCCGCAAGTTGTTGAAGAAGTCAACATTTCGTAAAAGATTTCTTCACTCATTGCCTGCAAATTACCCTCTTTGAAAAGCTTGTTATTGAATTTTTGACTACTCTGGTGCATTTTTCCACTGTAGACACAAGACTCTTGAAGAGGTGGTTAACAGCACCAAGAAGCAAGTGAAGTTCTATGGGTGGAATGAAGTCTAAGGTAAGTATTCCTTCAGGTAAATTAATAACTGCCTCATGCACAACATTGTGAAAGTCCTTCAATTTTTTTTTTGGCACCTGCTGCATGGAAGCTTGTATAATCAGTTTGAATAGAGTCAAATTTTTGGAGCTCACCACTCTGTTGAAGATTTTTTGACTCAATGTCACACTAGGTACACTTGAGTGAGACTGCAAACCACAAATGATGTTTGCAAGCTTCATGTCACATGACAACACATACCTCTCAATTCTCAATTTGTCTATGATCTGCTTTACACTGTCATAACTTTTAGAGAGATTTCCTGGAATATCCACCAGAAATTGATGCTTCACTCCTGAGTACTTGAAGAGAGGTTTTTTAGTCGGGGAAGAAGCATTTAGTTTTAGGTCAAAAACCACTAGTGACATTTTCAGGAACGCCTCATCTCTATCGATTCCTACTTTGATATGTTCATTTGATTGAGAACCTCTGATCAGAACTTAAACATCTTTGCAGTACACCAATAGACGTTTTGATTCTTGGCTAAGACTTTTGTATGTGCCTGAAAATTCTGAGGTGACAAACAAGTCAGAAAGATGCTTTCCAAGAGACTCAAATTTTTCCTTCAAGTTTTTTTCAACTACTCGCTGAAGAGCTAATTTGTATAGTGTTGAAGCAAGCTTGTTCGGCCTTTTTTTAAATGCTTAGTCTTGTTTTGAACTTTTTGAAGTTGTTGAGCAGTCAAGGTGGATGCAGCTGCTGGAAAAATTTCTCTTTATCCTGATGGCTGTGGAAAAAAAGTTTACATAAACATAACACAGTTTCTCATATTATAAAGTTTTTTTGTTGTAATAAAAGACTCACTTAAACAAAAGCATATCAGGCATATATTACAAAAAGAAAATATTCCTTGACTAATACGCAGAGTGCCATTGGGTGAAGAAACCTTGTTATAACAAGCTATAGCTATCACAGAAGCAGCAGTGTCTTTTGCGTCTTTTGCGTCTTTTCAGCTGTGTCTTTTGTGTCTTTTGCTGCAACTTCAAGCAAATTTTGTCAAAATATTCCTTTTGTTCAATTATGTGGAATCCCACTTTCAATCAGTAAAAAACTTGCTGAACAACGTTTCTCAAATAAAGAAATAAAGAAATAATAAAAAAAAAAAAATAATAATAATAATAATAATAATAATAATATATATATATATATATATATATATATATATATATATATATATATATATATATATATATATATATATATATATATATAAAAGAGAGAAAAAAAAAGATTGTTAAACAAATTAATCATATATATATATATACTATAATTATAGTAATAATACAAAATAATATATTATATATATATAATACAATATATATATATATATATATATATATATATATATATATATATATATATATATATATATATATATATATATATATATATATATATATATATATATATATATATATATATATTATAATTATAGTAATAATGCAAAACAATATATTGTATATATAATACAAAATATATATATATTATAATTATTGTAATAATACAAAATAATAACAATAATAAAGAAGTATCAATAATATTAAGAATAATTATAATACAATATAAATTGTAGGTACATATTATAGATAATAATTCAATATAATAATAACATAAAACGTAGCAAAAATAACACGATAATAAATAAATATAATATAGATAAATAATATATTATGCAAAAATCAAACTACTCGCATGTAAAGAAATCATATTTAACAAAGACAACTATAGTACAGAGAGAAATTATAAAGAAATACATTCCAACAATATATTTTTAAATTGAATTCTGTTGAGCAGTAAATAATCCGTAACAAGGGGATATTTTTTTTTAGACTTTTTTATTAATGCAGGAATACACTGGTTCCAATCGGAAATACATTGTTGTTTTATGGAAAACTTACCATATTTAATTGTGTTGAAATAAGCAGAGTAAAGCTTACTATTTTCTGTATTCGTGGTGTGATGATTATGAATTTATTTGTTTTAACAAAAAAGTTTTAAAAGGAATTTGGTAGTTTATTTCGGAGAAAGTCAAACACAAAAAGACAATTGTAAAACAATTGTAAGTTTTAGGATTTTTTGCCCAGAAAATTTTTTTGGATATCAGATCTCATTGGCGAAAACGTCATTATTCTAATAGATGCGCATTGTAAACTAGCAATGCTATTAAGTAAAAAGTTTCTTTTTTGACCCCAAACAATACAACAATAGCTGAGGTGAGAAGAGAGTAAAGAAGAATAAATCATTCGATGAGTTTGGATAGGAACATAGTTACGAATTAGAGAAAGCATACTGTTAGATCGTGTAAGTTTTTTTTTAAGATGATAGAGTTGGTTATACCAAGATAGGTTTTCATCAAGACCTATTCCAAGATACTTTATATATTTTGACGGGAAAGTTTTTCCGTTATTTTTAATTTTAACATTATTAATATTTTTTTGAGGGGAATGAAAAATAATGCATTCAATTTTATTGACATTTAAGAAAAAAAACGATTACTATTTAACATAATTTAACGATTACTATTTAACATCAGCATAATGATTTACTATAGAATTTTTTAATGAACAAGATAAACCATTTATATATAATAAAAACAAAAATGGTCCAAGAACGGAACCTTATGAACCGCCATATTTAATAACTTTATGTGTGGATTCAAATCCATTAATTGAAACAAACTGAGTGTAATCCCTAATATATGAAGAAAACCAATGATTAGCAATACCAAGTATTCCGTAGTTGTTTAACTTTTTTATAAGAATGTTGTGATCAACCGTATCAAAAGCTTTTTGAAAATTCGATTGGGAAGGGGGCGTGAACTTCCTATTAAATGCTCTTCCGCGGTGCTTTGTGATAAGACTGTAAGGACTTCTTGGGGCACCTTAATCAACTTTAAAAAAAAAAAAAATCTATGAATACACCATAAGCAAAGGAACCATTGTCAATTGCTCCACGAATCATTTCAGTAATTCTGATATGAGCATGAGGAGAGATATTTGAATAATTTGAATAATGAGAGAATAATTTGAGCGAAACCGAAACTGTTGAAAATGAAAACAAACAGAATTATTTAAAAAGTTGTTAATATGAGAGTACATAAGTTTTTCTAAAAGTTTGCTGACATTCGATTATAATGAAATTGGTCTGCAGTTATTACATTCAAGTTTTTAGTCTTTTTTATGAATTGAAATAATAGAAGCAGTTTTTAAAGTATCAGGGAAAACACCGGTGATAAATGTCAGATCAAATAGTTCCGAAAGTACAGGAGAGATATCATTTGCAAGAGCTTTAAAAATAGGTATTGGAATGCTGTTAGGTCCCGAAGCCTTGCTTCGAAGTTTTTGTCTGTAGGTTTTTATGAATATTGATTTAAGATTGGGATTATTAAGATATTTATTAAAATCAGTATTGGATGAGTGAATCTTTTTCTGTAGTTCTTCCGGAACTGAAACAAAGAATGAATTAAAAGATTCCGAAATTTTAATGGGATCGTATATCATGGAATTGTTAGAAGATAAGAAGGAAAGATATAAGTTAACTCTCGAACTAATGTTTAAAAGATTCCTTATACTATCCCATGTAGATTTCAAATTTTTGGCATTATAGGAGAAGAACTTAGAGTAATGGTTTTTTTTTATTACTTTTTATCACGTTGAAAATTCTTTCTGCTTTTGCATTGTGCACTGAATACGCGAAAAAAATAAAACATATCTTGTAGGAAGTGAAGATAGTAAAAAAAAAAAAAAATCTCAAACAAATCAAATCACAACTAACAATTAAACTAAAATAGTTTAGTTGTTGATTGCTACCATAGCCCCAAAGGTTGTTCTCGGGAAAAGAGGTTCGAATTAAAAGTCATTTTGCGACACTGTGATATGTCTTTACTTCAGTAATTAACTGCTGATTTAAGTTAATAATTGAATTGAGTTGTAAATACCTTTGTGTAAATGTGTAATTAACTGTGTAAAAACATTGTGTAAATGTGTAATTAACTGTGTAATTAAATGTGTAAAAAGTGTAAATAACTTTGGGCATATTTAACATTATTAATGTGACCTATATTGAAAGTATTAAAAGTTATTAATATCAGTCGAAAATTAATGAAATAACATTAGAATTTTGAAAATTATTAAAGAGATAAAAAACGGACATACCTCTTATTGCAAAAACGTTCTTTTTCTTTATTTAAGCCTATAAAATGTTAAAAATATGAAAAAAATAGTTCTCATCTTTTTAAAGTTCTCAAATTGGAAAAATATAGAAATAAAATATTTTTTATTCATTATTTTGTAAGTAACTACACAACTTCAAGAATCGTGAAGTTGATAAATAATTTATATTACGTCTATTTAAAAACCATTTCATGGTTTAAGCGGCAAACTATCTTTTTTTTGCAATTTTTTAATTCCTGACAAATATATTTTTAGTTTATAATATTTCATAAATGATTCAACACATTTGTATTCAAATTTTTAAAATTCTTTTAGTTTATTTAGTTTTTTTTGGTATTTTTTAACTTTTTTTTTTACTCTAAATTTGTTTTGTATTATTGAATTTTTTTTTTTAATTTTATAAAGAGTATATAGTAATAGTATATTGGCTTTTGCTTTAAGAAAACAAAGAACTTTTACGACGTGTAACATATAATTTTTTCCCTTTGAGCCCCCGACTGATTATAAGATAAAATATAATAATTGTAGAATACTTCCATTTAAACTTCATGCTTGTATTTCTTTAAATATTTACAATCTTATTTAAAGCATTTTTAATTTTTAATATTTTATTACTTTTATATTTTTAAAAACTTTCACTCAAAGTTTTTAAATAATTTCATTCAAAGTTTCATCAAAGTTTTATTCCTTTAATGAAATTTAAAAGTTTTAAAATCAGATAAAATATTGCGCTATTTTTTATTTTAATCGAGTACAATCTCGTTTAATACTTACAACATTTTTTACAACATAATATTTGTTGTAAAAAATGTTGTAAGTATTAAACGAGATTGTACACGATTAAACGAGATTGTACACGATTAAACGAGATTATATAAAACATTCTCATGATCGAATAGTACGTTCTACATAAAACTACTATTAAGCGGTCATATTGATCTTACCCAATGATATATTATTTAACTAGATGTCTAACTTGCGGGATTTTATTGAACAAAAAGTGAAACCCCTTTTTTTGTGTGTTTATAACAATAGTCCACCATTTGTAAAAAGGGCAAAAGCTGAAGCCGAAGTGTGGAATAAAAGTTAAAAATGCAAGTCAAAAGTTCCCAATAAATTAAAGATAATTCAAAAACAAATTTTATAAATTATGAAAAATGAAGGTTTTTTTACGAGCCTTTGTTTACTAAAAAGTATTTTATCTCATAAAAAAATGCTTCAAAAGCGTCTCTCGTTTTACTTTTCTATTAACCCTTTTTAATCGAAAATAAATTAAGGAATCATAAATTATTATACAAGTATTATAATTTCCGCTAAACACTTTTACGTAAATAGTATTTAAATTTAAAATATGTTTACTTCATTTAAGAAAAGAAAAATTAAAAATATTTGTTTACATATTTAATCCGCTATTTGTAAACAGGGTAAAGAGCGGCTTCACTTTTCGGATCGATGTTAGACATCTAGTTATATGATATACCATTGATCTAACGATATCAATTTAATTAGTTGAAAGGTCTAATTAATTAAATAATTAAAACATTTTAACTGAGCTATGTTTTGACGCAATCGTAGCATTATTTAAAGCAATTTAAATGGTATTTATGTATTTCTTAGTTTCAAATTAGAATAAAAAGAGGTAAAATATAAAGTTATTAATACGTAGTTCTGATAAAAAATTAAGTTAGTGTAACCAACGTTATAACAACTTTTTATTTAATTGATCGAGTTCGCCCAACATTACCCAACAAAAATCCAACGTTGGATCAATATCAATGGATCAACATCAATGATTTTGACGTTGCTCCCAGTGTTCCTATTGGGAGCAACGTCACATTAAAAAAAAAAGAATCATTGCGTGTAACACCATTCAATATTTCAAAAGGTCATATT